AAATACGCATTCAGCATATTCAAATCTACCAAATATACACGTATATATCAACAGGCAGAAATAAAGCCTGATAAAGAGACAGACATACAATTACATTCATAAATCACCAAGACGGTAAAGGCGACTTTCCTATACCAACCCCAAACCTTACTATCCCCATACAAACGAAAATCAAAATAAAACAGCCAACTATACATATACATACATACATACATACATACATACATAATATATATATATATATATATATATATATATATATATATATATATATATATATATATATATATATGGGAACAAGGACACGCAAGAAGTGAAAAAATAAGGATAATGCGAAGAAAAATACGAAAAAAACAAGAAAAAGCCCAAAATGTACACAGAGCAAAGGAAACACGCAAGAAGTGAAAAAGAATAAGAAATAGGATACGAAAAAGGCCAAAATATACATTGAATAAAGAGAACACAAGAAGCGAAAAAATAATAATAAAAAAAAAAAAAAAAAAAAGAAAAGGAATACGAAACAATTAGAAAAAGACCAAAATCGTACACTGAGTAAAGAGAACAGAAGGAGTGAAAAAGAATAAAAAAAACGAAAATAAAAACGAAAAAATAAGAAAAAGGCCAAAATGTACACAGAGTAAAGAAGCTGGCCTGACCCCAGAGGTGCGTGTGGGTCCCCGTCACGCAGAGCCCTTGCGAGACAGATAATGCAACTTTATACTGTTGTATAAAACCCATTTTGCTCCAATGTTCACTTGCATTATGGCTCAGCTGTATATACACTGCACGGCTGATATGCTGGTCAGGTGATATACTCGCAATGTGTGTGACATGCGGTCCACTGCCACTACACATTTTCTTACATTGTGAGTATAGCTAATTAAAAAAGAAAATGAAAAGAAAAGTCAGTATGTTTTGTGTATATCATTGTATGCTCTGTTTATTATCACCAAGCCAGTGGAGTCTCGATTTCTTTTTTTCTACATATTATTATTATTTTCATATCTCCGAAAAAAAAAAAAATTATACACAAAGTTTAAGCAGCTACGTTTCCCTTCAGAGGCTCAATTAAGCTGAACTTATTTCAACACAGAACATCTACTATAACTAATTTGCCGAAAAAACAACAACATTTATTTCACCTATTTCAGTTAACCCGAAATAATTGCTGATCGGAACCTTCTTTGCATATTCGTGTTGACAAGTAAATCTCTTGAAAGTTTGCATCTGGAGACCACATATTATTGCTTCAGTTTGCTAATTATCTGGTTATAATAAAACTGTACAGCAAACACACATAAATAAATAAATATATAAATAAAGAGGGAGATAGGGAAAGGGGAGACGGGAGATAGGAGAGGGAGGAGGGAGGGGTGGGAGGGGTGGGGATGGATGGGTGGATGGATAGAGGGAGAGGGAGGGGAGAAAGAGAGAGAGAGAAGGGAAAGGGAGAGAGAGAGAGAGAGAGAGAGAGAGAGGGAGAGAGGAGGAGGAGGGAGGGAGAGGAGAGAGAGAGAGAGAGAGAGGAGAGAGAGAGAGAGAGAGAGGAGAGAGAGGAGAGAGAGAGAGGGAGAGGGAGAGGAGAGAGAGAGAGGAGAGAGAGAGAGAGAGAGAGAGAGAGAGAGAGAGAGAGAGAGAGAGAGAGAGAGAGAGTGAGAGAGAGAGATGAGAGGAGAGAGAGAGAGAGAGAGAGAGAGAGAGAGAGGAGAGAGAGAGAGAGGAGGGGGGGAGGTACATATACCTTCCTAGTTATAATGATAATAATGACGATAATAGTAGTAGAAACCTCTTTTACAAAAGCCTAAAAAAATTGAAACTCTTAACAACCAGAGCCATTCTGCAAATCCAAACTTTTCCTTGTACAGTGCTAACAAACACTTTTTCTCTATCTTTTACGTGTTTAAAGTGCTCTCGTCTATACTTCATTCCCTGAGAACACGCTTATCTCACGCTATTTATTCTACACGCGTTAAAAGCCCTCTACAAAATGTTGTTCACTTCCGAATAACAGCAGGCCTTGCATGAAAACTGCAGTGGTCTCTAAAAAAAGGAAAGAAAAAAGAATCCAATCACCTAGAAATATAATTTTTTTCCCGCTAAAATGGAAAAGCACAGGGAACATTCCACAAAAAAATAGTTCACACGCATTACCTTCGCGGTACCCATCAGGCAACACTTTCATTTCTATTTTCGTTTTTGTCTGCCAACCCGCCATACATTCTAAATGGGAATACAAAGACTGCATTGCCATTCCCAACTACAACCCATTGCACTTGGATCTTAACGCTTCTCTGCAAGCTCAAGGAAATTTCACTCGTCATTAAACAATTGACCATTCCCATTTCTATGCTCCGTGAAGGACAAAACAGCTTAAGATAGATCATTAATTTCCTTAATTGTCTTGATATCTAGTGCCTTTTCATTTCCTTTAGTATGTGCAATGCGTCTACTTAAGAGGTACAAAAAATAAGAAATAATAAAACATTCTCAAGATTTTTATTAGCATACCTGGAATAATATGCTTATAGATATGAAAATTCATAAATTCACCATGAAAACGCACAGCAAACATACACGATACCCAAAAAAAGGCTCATACTGGTACCAATAAGTCTACGGCTCTTTCCACCCATATTTCACTACCAAAGCAACAATTTATGAGATGCGTCTTTTCCTCACAGATAAGGATCCTTTTCATATCGTCATATACTACGATGCCATTCTCTTACAGTACGGGAATAAAATATAACAAATACTCAAACATATAAGAAATATTCAAAATATATCATAAATGACAGATTTTCATTTCATTTTTTTTAAATCCAAGCAAAGCTGACATTTTTCAGAATACCATAAAGATTGGAAGGAATAAAAAAAGTTGTTATATCACTTAAACAGCAAGTGTTTGAATGAAGTAACCGAGTCAACACTGAATCAATATTACCAACGCATGCAATGACAAATATTGAGACTTCCGAGAAATGCTTCTATGTACTAAAAGCTTAAATAAGTGTACATCATTTGAAAACCGTAAAACCAAAATATAATCTAAAAACGAACACATGAATCTTCCATAAAACCTCAAAATCACAGTAATAACCAAATACATAGAACCGTTTCATAATAATTCCCAAAATCACTAAAAATACCACACACAAAACCACCAACATCTATCGAGCACGCAACCAAGCGATAGACAGAAACAGCCAACTAATCTGTCACAGCGGAACCTCACAGCGCAACTAATCAGACGAAACCTTCACAACAACAGCCATGAAATCACATCATGCCCAAACCCCATTAGGCTTACGAACCCAACTTAACTTACTGATTCATATTCCTTTCTCTACTTCATATTAAGCTTACGAGCCGAACTTGGAAACTTTTTTATAGGCTTTTTTATATTTTTTCCACGACTTAGGGTCCGTGTTGGTTCTGTGCTGCTCATCACCCAGGGAGCGACAGAGCAGTTAAACGCGGCTGCTAATCTGTCAGATTTATGTTACCTTTTCGACTACACAAAGGAGTTCCGTGAGGCTTGGAGCTACTTGTTGAAATTACAAAGTAGGTCATCTCATTATTACTTTTTCAGCGGGCGTGTGTATGTATGTGTGTGACTGTATGAGACTGTGTAATGTGTGTGTGTAATGTGCGTGTGTAGTGTGTAATGTGTGTGTAATGTGTGTGTATGTGTGTGTGTGTGTGTGTGTGTGTGTGTGTGTGTGTGTGTGTGTGTGTGTGTGTGTGTGTGTGTGTGTGCACGTGTGGTGTGTGCACGTGTGTGTGTGTGCACGTGTGTGTGTGTGCACGTGTGTGTGTGTGTGTGTGTGTGTGTGTGTGTGTGTGTGTGCGCGTGTGTGTGTGTGTGTGTGTGTGTGTGTGTGTGTGTGTGTGTGCACGTGTGTGTGTGTGTGTGTGTGTGTGTGTGTGTGTGTGTGTGTGTGTGTGTGTGTGTTGTGTGTGTGTGTGTGTGTGTGTGTGTGTGTGTGTGTGTGTGTGTGTGTGTGTGTGTTGTGTGTGTGTGTGTGTGTGTGTGTGTGTGTGTGTGTGTGTGTGTGTGTGTGTGTGTGCGTGTGTGTGTGTGTGTGATTATGTATGTGTGCGTGCGTGCGTGCGTGTGCGTGTGCGTGTGCGTATGTGTATGTGTATGTGTATGTGTATGCGTATGTGTGTGTGTGTGTGTGTGTGTGTGTGTGTGTGTGTGTGTGTGTGTGGTGTGTATACGTGCGCAAGTGTGCACATGTCTGTGTACATATGTGTGTGTCTGTCCATGTGCTTATTTGTGTACATGCATATACGTGTTTATGTGCATATGTCAAGGTATCTGTGTGCATGTGTGTATACACCTGTCTGTATGTGTCTAGTCATCAGTGTGCATGCATTTACGTTCCTGTATGTGCATGTGTACCTGTCTGTGTACATCTGCGTTTGTGCATGTGTTTGTGTTTACGTTTCTATGTGTACATGCCCGTGTGTACGTCTTGTTCAGTCTGTGTTTACATGCGTGCGTGTATGTGTGAACGTATGTACACGTGCGTGCCGTGGGTTCGTGCGTTTCTGTACACACGTCCGTCATCCAATTGTTTTAAAGCCTCATCCCGTAGAGTGCATCCGTTACTTCTGAAGCACTCCCTTTCTACCAATACATTTAGTCAGATTTCTTATTGTCTAAGCCTTAATCCTCAAGACATCAAACAACATTGCCAAACATTGATTATCTTTTTATAAACTAGCTGGCACCATTAAAACAGACGTGCTTCTAACACTCAGACACTTACCCTAGACGCCTGTGCTTATTACACCAAACTACAAAATCCAGCTGTTGCAATCATTAACATAGAAAATAAGTTAAGTTTCCTAAGACGAAACCTTTTATAAACATAACAGAATAACTAAGTAAAAAAATCATGAACAGAACTAGCGAAAATAACATTAAGAAAAACGAAAATGAAAAACACTCAAGACCTCACGAACATCCGAGATCTAAGACAAGACATCAACTAGTCACCAACGACCAACAGAAACTGAGGAGAAACCGAACTGACTTTGAGTCGACCGTTGCGAAGTGGCTGTCTGGCGGTGTTTGCTTGGGTGACCTGGTTGGTTGATGTATGGTGCGTGTAGTGGTGATGGTAGGACTGGTGGTTATTCCCAGCGACCTGACTCACCCTGCTAGATGACTGCGAGCTTCCCAAGTAATAACCATGTTGTTGCTGTTGCTGTTGGGCACGAGCTACTTCGCAATAAGCCAAGTGCTGGCGAGGGTAGTCACCACCACCACCAGCCCGGGCGGGTTCCGACGGCGGGCCCGGGGGAATCGGTGGAGAGGGTCCGCTGGAGCCCCCCGAGGAGGTCCGGGCCGGGTCCGGGTACACATCGGGTAGCGGAGTCTGGTGTGAGCGCGGGGATCTGGAGCGTGGGGAGTGTGCGATGGGGATTTCGTGCGTCGAGTGAGCGTGGCGGATCTCTCGGCCCTCACTCCCCGCCCTCGCCCCTCGACACATGTCCTGGGCATTGCTTCGAGATCGTCGGATGTCCGGGGCCAGCCCCCCCACGCTCCCTGCCCTGGCGAGGTCCAGCGCGTTGCTCTGCGACCGTGTGATGTCCTGCTGCACATTCCTCAGCTCGCGCGGTGGCCGGAAATCGCTGGAGAAAGGCCGCGACAGTTCTTGTCCTAAGGAATGCTGGCGCTGCAGACCGAACGGACGAGCCCGAGGCCGGGCAGAGGGTTCCGAGGCCGCACTGCCCGACGTGCTCGTTCCTTCTTTGCTCACGGACTGTTGGCGACGGAGGCGGCATCCCTCGCCGTACGTGTGCTGGTCCTCCGCGGCCTGCTCCTCCGCCTGTAACGTGGCATACATGTCCGGGACCGAGCGGTGGTGGCGCAACATGTCGGGGGCGCTGCTGGCGTGGTGGGGCCTCGTTTCGAGCAGGAGGGGGCCGAGGGGGTCCCGAGGGCTGGCCACTTCCTGATGGGGTTCCAGGACTCCGCGAGACTCCAGATTGGCCCTGTGTCGCTCCAGAGTGTGCCGGTCAATGTTGGATGTGTGCCGCACCAGGTGGCGAGGGGGATGTTGCTGTGGGGCGTGATGGTGGTGATGGTGGTGGTGATGGTGTGGAGTGTGGGGCATCAGCGGCGGAAGGTCGCGGTACATATCTGGAGCCTGAGGGCCGGCGATGTGTCCCCGAGACCCGGCCATGTCCTGAGGTGATGGGTGGCGGTGGTAGGGGTCGTGGTGGTGGTGCTCGTGGGGGCGGGCCTGCAGAGTGCCATCATTGTATCCCTCATGGCCGTTGCCTCCTAAACTGCGGCACATGTCCCCGGAGAAACTGTGGAAGGGGTCGTGGCTGGGCCCGTGGCCCGCTAAGGTGGTGTGCGGGCAGCTCGGGCTGTGGTGGAACGTGTGGCCACTGCTGACTGGCCGGAAGGTGTCGGCTGACGAAGTGCACACGTGGTACGATGGCACCCCAGACCCGGCGCTCGACCCCGAGCGGAATGGGTCGGGCTGGTTGCCCGAGGCACCCTGAGACCGGTACGATTCGGCGTGCGAGGTGGCAGGTCGGTAGAGGTCCATGCTGGTGGCGGGGCGGAAATGTTCGAGGGTGACGTGCTGACGGTAGGCTGGAGGAGGGTGGTCGCGGTAGTGCTCGGGTGGGCCGCCGTGGTACTCCCGCGGTAGATCCATCGGGGGCTGGTTGCTGCGCCTCATTCCCTTCGGGCCCTGATACTCTGGTCCTGTGGGGCAGCTGCTGCCGCGTCGCTGGGCTGGCCGGCTGGACCCTCACCTTCGAGCCTTGGCAAGTCCTCTCGGCGTTACTCGCCCTGTCTGGGGCAGGAAGTAGTCATGGCAGCGCGCCCGCACACCCACACCTGACCAGACACCCGTGGTGGCGCGGGGGCGGCAGCAGGAGCACACAGGTGCGGGTCTCCCGGGGGCGCCTCGCACGGTGGGCAGCGCGGCTATTGATCCATGGCGGAGGGCAGCAGGCACGAGGGCCTCACACCGCCGCCGCCAGGTGCCTCAGCCTCCCCAGGGCAGGTGCCACGCTCACCTGCTGCCACGCTCACCTCACACTCCTCCTCTCCTGCCTCGTCCACGCCCACCCTCTGACCTCACGCACTCCCGAATCACTGCCCTCTTCATAGGGCGCCACGCACGACTCCGTTTACCTGTCTATCTATCTAGTTTCAGAGTTGAACACACTACACACTTTGCAATCACTGAACTTACAGACTTTCTAGAAATACACAACCACGGAAGTATAAACACACAAATACTTATTTGCTATAATATCAAAAACACAAAAATTTACTTTTCAATAAAATAAGAATCTTCACCAATATAACAATATCCCTTCCTTCCAACAAGTTCATCCATGACTACCCTGGCACCAACATGAGCACGGCGGGACACCTCTCACCAGCTCCACGCCCCTCCGAGTCCTAGCGAGCGTGTGCTGACGCCCCTGCAGGGTAGCGCGAGGGGCACGAGGAGCGGC